CTCTCTCTCTCTCTCTCTAAAACACCCACTCCCTCTGACGCCTTCTTCTTCTCAATGGAGGCCATGAGAAGAAAGCAGGTATGATGCTTCCTGGAGGCACACAAGGGAAAAGACATGTTAGCTGTATACTCTTCAGCCTTGGTTGGGGTTGATGGTCTGAGGAGATGCATGGTCTTGTTTCCCAGGTCCTTTTTGCAATTGTTCTGAGCTGCTGATGTCTTCTTAATGAGATGATTTCTCAGTTTGTAAGATTTGCTTCTCAAAGCAGTTGCTGCAGCTTTATCTGCAACAGTGACAGCTCTTGATTCCTGAAATCGAGGACTTGAGGAGGAGGAGGAGGAGGAGCGGTGCTGCTGCGAGTGAGATGTCATGGAATAGCACAACTGCTGTTTATATCTATATATATATTTCACAGGAAATGTGATGTCATTCTCGATATGAGAATATTGAGGTCTGACCTCCTGAAGATCGGATCTTCTTCTGTCTTATCTTTTCTTCTATCCCTCCATCTCTTTGCTCATGTATTCCTGGTTATGCTATAATGACGCTCCTGGGGATTGTGCAGCCTAGGCTGTGTGATCAGGAATATTCTGAAACACAAGACTCCTGTGAGTGCTAATCAATCTAAAGGACGATTGTTAGGCTGCTGTTTACCAGCTGCAGCTCTCTGACTCAGGGTCATACAATGCTCGTCATTATCTGTAAGTTTACAGTTGCAGGTAAATCATTGGCATATTCCTGGGGATATTTTCATGGGGTTTAAATATTGGGCACTTTCTTTTTTTTCTGTATTTGGAGACTGGACAGCAGAGAAGTGACAGGAAACAAGGGGGAAGAGGAAGGTTGGTATCCTGGTCTCAAGCTGAGGTTGTTACTATTGTGCGAAGAGCTGTTTAGCCACCAGGAAACTCCACATGTGTGATTTCTGCTTTGGGAATATGCAGAGCCAAGAATTTGTGAAAGACCTGAGGTTGTTGAAATTTCAGGTTGTGTCAGTGGAAGGGTCACAAAAGGAAGGTGTAAGATAAACGCCACGTTATGACGCACACTTAGACTTGTGGTTTTTGTAAACTGAGATTTAAGCCCTGACTTAAAGTACTAGAGAGGAACAAACTAAAACCAAAACTCCTGCTGCACCAAATCTGATATTGTTCCAACTTTTCCTCAAACTTTGCTTTTTCTCTTGTGAGATCCTAGATAGTTTCACCTCTTCAGGCCTTGTGGAAACATTCACCGCTCATAGGATGGTCTCATAGATGGCCTGAAAAGCAATCCTTCATTTACGTTCTAAAGCTGCGTGATATGCATTTGTGTACTTTATCATCGGGGTGTTGGCTCATTGCTAGCAGTAGTGCGCAGCTGTTTGTGTAATGTGTCTTTGCTTTGTGTTTAGGTAGCGCTGACGTGCTCTTCAGCCCTCTTGCAATAAATCTAAAGATAGGACACATTTGTACGAATGTCGGGTCTTGTCACACACCAGGTTCAGATTATGTTGGAAAGGACAGTGAATGATTGAACCATGAACATTTTATAGCCTTAGAAATAGAATCTGTTGTGCATTTATTTTTATTTGCAGTTTCATAAAAAGGTCCGATCTGATATTTAACATTTGAACCATCAGAGTTTTACTTCTACAGTCACGGCTGAAGCTTGGGTCTCTTCTAACATCTTTATTTAAATATAGGCTCTTCTCATTGCCTTGGCTTCAGGTTGGAGCCTCATTCAGCTGCACCCATATCCCCATCCACCGGCCTCCAAATCCCCACGTTCCCCATCTAGTGGAAAACTGCTGCAATGGCCACGTCGTGTCAGTAAACAATCTGGTTGCGAAATGGCGGAGATCTGCAGACAGCCTTCTCTGTCTCCCTTCCCCCCTCTCCCTTCTGTCTCCAATGTGCATGTTCCAGTTTCCACCACTAGGGGGAGGGATGGTGCTTATGTGTGTGTGTTTTTTTGTATGCAACTGGCTTTTCTCAATCCATGGAAACAAGGAACTGAAGGATTGTTCTCCTCTTCACCTTCACACGTGCTCTCTAGATTCCTTGAGATCATCATCACCACAGGATTGTCCTCATAGATGTTCTTTGCAAGACACCCTCAGATATTCAGCTCCCAGGCCGATTCTTGGCCTGACCTTGTTGCTGTTTGACGAGGTGCAGGTTGGTGTTCGACTCCGGGCCTCGGGAGCACGTGTACATCTGTCCAGACTTCCCTTTCAGTTGGGGTCTCGGCTCTTTGCAGGTTTCAGGACAGATGCTCTCTGTTAGGTTTGAGGATTGAACTGCACGCGTCATTGGAGGACAGCATTTAACTGGCTGATCCGGTTTTCTCTGTCTCTTATAGATGTTATGATTGGGCTTGTTGTAGGAGTTGTGTTTTCTCTGCTTTCCTCAAGATATGTGACTGCACATTCACCTTTACTCTGCTTGGTGCGAGAGGAGTAGTGGTTGTGCCGTCCTATGCGGACAAACTGGCCTGGGTCCATTTCCTTTGACATTGCACTGATCCCTGGGTGGTAAGTGGACAAAGACGTGTTTTTTACGTAAAGTTTCAACAAAAAGAAAACAAAAGCGGATTCATGAAGTTTTTCTCTTGGGCCTCTTTTGTTTCCTTTGGACACATTGTTTCCGGTGTGAGGTCGATGGCCTGCTCTGAATGAAGACTCATATCCTGGTGTTGCCTCTTCAGCTGCTCCCTCCTGTGTAAGAACAGTCTGTGGGTGGTTAAAATGTCTTTTTGAGGTTGCAGCAGACATCTACTGCTCCTCCGATTGGCTGGAGGTTCGCCCTCGTTCTCTTGGCCTACTCTCTAATCTTGTGACACGACACTGAAAAGCACAAAGACAGAAGATTAGCCTTGCGTGAATACAAGTAAGATTGCAGTTGGTTAGGAGGTTATCAGAAAATGAACCAACATTCATTTTGTTAAAACATTCAAGAAGAAACATTCTCTGGTCTCAGCTTCTCAAATGGGTCACTCTCAGGAAGCCTTTATTTCAAACATGGTCAAACATTTTAAAAAGGCATAAGCAAGATCATTTTCTTTTGAACATGAAAAAGAAAGTCGTACGTAATTAGGAGGATTGATCTCCAAACAAATTTATTGTTGAAATTTAATTATTAAAGACCTGTACAGAGTTACAGGACATACATTGTTTTATTTAGCCTACAACTGCAAACTAATCCTCAAAACATTCAATTCACAGCGAAATAAACCTGAGAAAATCATCAAATCATCACATTGGCGAAGCTAAAAGTAGAACGTTTTTGGCACGTGCTTAAGAAATGACCTCGGGACTTAATTGACTATGACAATTGCCGATTGACTAATCAGTTATTGTAAAGAGTGTATCTCAAAGTTTTAGATTGTTGGGTGAATAAACCGAGCACCTTACAGAAAGTACACTGGACTTAGGAAGTGATTTTGTTTTTACAGACAAAGCAACTTGTGGCAAAAGTCGTCAACAGATTAATTGATACTGAAAATAAAACACTCACTTGTTCTTTTTTCATCAGCCGGCTGGTCTAGCCAAGGGCAGTGTGGATAAAGGTGCGTCTGCAAAAAAAGAGGGACTCGATCCAGCAAGTAACGGAGAGGAAAAGTCAGGTATTATACAACTTAAACCTGAAAGCAATTTATTTTTAAAGAATTCACATTGTAATTATAATCATGTCCTTGATTTTCTTGGTCCACAGACGGAGACAAAGAGGTAGCAGTCAGACTGGCTTCCTCCCCTGCAGCAGAAGTAATGCTCAACGGCATCGAATGTGACGACACGAGGCACAAGAGCCCGACACACGGCTCCACGACAGGCAGCACTAAGACTTCACTGTTGTTAAATGAAAATGGGATGCTAGACCTGGAGCCACCGCACGCTTCTGTTACTGGAAGCAATGGATTCATTTTCACTAAGCAGCAGCAGGACGGCAGCTCTGCAGCGATGCCAGGTTTGGGAGCTTCCCCTCACAGGACTAACTGGTTGCCCTCGGGCACATCAGCAGGGGGACATGCGGTCAAACCTGTCTCGGCATCAGGGAGTGCACAGACTTCGGGTGCGTTACGGACTGACCCCAGTACGGGGACTACGTTGGGACAGGGTATATCGGACACTAAAAATGGCACAGCGCCGTCTCCTGCACCCGTCACAATACACAGAGCACGCAAGACCATGTCCAGGCCTGCTGTCAGCCCGGCACAAAAGGTAAACAATGTGAACATGGTGAAATATTTATCTTTGCTCCACATCGGCTTGGTGCTTAAAGACATTTTTCATGCTGGTTTTGTCTAACAAGTTTGTTTACAATGTCATTAACATCTCCGGGAAGTTTGGTCTTTGGCTTTTTGAGTAGTTGCAGGAATATCGTCACGGATCATAAATCATACATTTTAGGCCAAACATTTATTCAGTTTATCGCAAAGCTACTTTTGAATGTCGATCATTTGACACTGAATCACCCCAGTGTTTTCTACAGCCCAGCAAATATGGGCTTTTGGGATTCACCATCGTTATTGTGGAGTAATCAAACCCTTGTGACAGAGAAATATAATTGAGACTTGATATTGTAATCGTTAGTTGGTGAAAAACAGGAAACAGTGAGACAGTAAATCTAATCCAAATACCATCATCCTGAAGGTTTTGCTTCTTGTCACCTACAGCTTCTGAACAGGGAATTAAGAGAAGCAAAAAGTGCCACAGTCGAGAAAATGGAGACTAACGTTGCACCTGATGAGCAGAAAACCTTGCAGCAGTCCTCTCAGAACCATCTACCTCAGAGTCCACCAGAAACGCCAGCTTCTGCACAAACCACGTCATCTGCCTCACCAGCACCTCCACCAACCCCAGCTCCTCCGGCCCCCACCAAGCTCCAACTAGGTCAGACAGAGTCCAGTCGAAAACTGATCTGCTGCAGAAATACTGACTTCAACCACAGTGTAAATGTGTTGTCTTCTTCTCAACAGGCTCGTTCTCCGGAGGGCTGTCATCCCGAAAGAAAAAGAGGAGGATGGGAACGTACAGCCTGGTTCCCAAGAAGAAAACCAAAGTGCTTAAGCAGAGAACTGTGCTAGAGATGTTTAAGGACCTACACCAATCGTCGAAGATCCCACAGGTCTGTTCTCCAAAAAACAAACAATGTCCTTCATGTCCTTTTTGTTTTCTAAAGTATATCACCGTTTAAAGACACATGTAGTATTAGTGGTGTCTTCTGAGTTTGCAGTGACCATTTCAAATCCTTTATTATCGCACAGACTAAAGAGGCAGTGAACATAAATGGGGAGAAGGTGGAAAACGCATCTGAGGAGGAAGAGTCAGAGGAGGTGGAGTCTGAGGAAGAGGAACGACAGCAGATGTCAGAAGAACCCGTCAGTGTTCAGGAAACATCTGAACCCATCTCCCAGGTTGGAACATCGAGCACTTTAGACTTCTTCCCTGTTGTCCTGAGTGGATATGTGGGTAATGGCAGTAGTTTTAAATGATGTTTTGAATGCTGGTGGATTTTGTTTTTTGGGTGGAGGTTGGAGATGAGCAGGAGTCTGAAGAGTCTGGAGAAGAGGAGGGAGAGGAGGAGGGAACAGAGTCCGACATGGTAAGAGCCACTCGCCATCATTACTCGACCTTTAACCACATCAGAGCATTAGATCTCATCTCATTCCACCTCTTTTGACAGAATACCACGAGAAGTAAGTGCAGCTGAAATGTTCTGCTCGTTATTAAATTACTTTCTCTGTGCTGCTGAAGTCATCGCTGAGAATTTACCGCGTCTGTCTGTCTCAGAGCACAGAGTCGGGTCTGAAGAAGAAGTTGAAAAAGAAAACGAAAGGAGACAGCGCGTGGCTCAGGCCGTCCAGGAAACGGAAGAGGAGGTTAAAGGTCAAAGGTGAACACCGTCCCGTCGCCCTCACACCTGTAGAGTCGTCAGGTTTTCATTCACTGTTATTCACACTGCACTTAATTTAAAAGAGTAAATATAAAATATTATTATTTCAACATTGAACACATGGTGCCAAAGGTCCTTCTCGTAATTGTTCTTTAAATAGCGCATTAAAAGTGACTCAGTGGATTCTTTGAGTTCTCTACTTGTAACACAATGAAATCACAGCAACACCTCAATCTGGAATGAAAACATCAGTGATTGTAATTACTCTAACAGGATTTTCTTGTCACATGTCACAGCGTCAGATCACACTGAATTATAGCATTGTTGGCTCAGGCTGTATCCTCAGTCTCACTGCTCACCGCTCTTCTGCTTAGACCTGGAGCTGGTGGTTCATCCTCAGGCTTCAGCTCAGGCCCTGGCAGGTGATGTAAAGGAGTACACGCAGATTGTCCTTCCTGAGTCCGTCAACGCCAGCAAGCCCCAAGAGCTGGTGGCGCCGCCACAGAATAAAGGTGAGCGTCGCCAACAGGAGAAAAAGGTTCAACTTGTTCAGAATATTTATAAATAGTTAACCTGATCTTCTTGCCATTCTTTTACTCTTGTATGGAAAGCTTCTCTTTGAAGATTAAAGCCTGAATATAAAAACTGCAACCGAAGAAGTATCTCAAGTTTTGACTCGTCCCTTGTCTCAGCTGTCGTCGTAGGGTCGGCGGTCGAGGAGTCTCAGGAGCTTCCCCTCTGCAGCTGCCGCATGGAGACGCCCAAGAGTCGAGAAATTCTCATCCTGGCCGATAGGAAGTGCATGGCCACAGAGAGCGTCGACGGACAGCTGAGCCGCTGCCAAAGTGCCGTACTGAAACACGAGATGATGCGTCCCTCCAACTCTGTTCAGCTGCTCGTTCTGTGCGAAGATCACCGCAATGGCATGGTGAAGCACCAGTGCTGCCCGGGCTGCGGCTTCTTCTGCAGGGCTGTGAGTGCAGTCGCTGGATTGGTTTCAGGTCGAATTATACAAAACATTGCTCCACACTTGAGCATAGAATGATTATGTGGACATTGTGTTTTTTGATCGAGCAGGGAACATTCATGGAGTGCCAACCGGACGTCAGCATCTCTCACCGCTTCCATCGTGCTTGTGCCTCGGTGCTGAAAGGTCAGAGCTTCTGCCCTCACTGTGGAGAGGAGGCCAGCAAGGCCAAGGAGGTCACCATCGCCAAGGCTGACACCACCTCCACTGTACCCACCGCGCTCGCTCATGGACCTGCCACACCCGGGGCCCCCGAGGGTCGCGCAGACACCACCACTGGCAGGTAAACTACTGACTGTGGCATCAGAATAGACGGGAAGTTTCCTGAAACGATAATCGAAAGCTACTAGCTACAGTAGTCTACAGGTGAATATTCATACACAATGCAAAGGCAGCAACTTTTGTGTATTTTCTCTATAGAACATTTGTTAAAGAATCCTGTTCTCTTCTTTATAATGAGCATCGCAGATAAACGATGTGTGGACTACATCACTAAAGTATTTTCTCGTCTGCTCTCCAGCTCTTCTCGTTTAGCTGTCGGGGCGGAGACCAGCGGCCGGGCCGACAGCTCCTTTTCTGTTCGTTCCTCACACGGCCTCGACACGTCTGCCGTTCCCGGGTCGTCCAGAACTGCAACACTGCAGACCATCATGGGAACCGCTGCTTCGCCAACAGTTCCTCAAGGACCACCGCGAGAAACTCTGGAGAGCATCCTGGTCGCTCTGGACACGGAGAAGTAAGTTCTGCCACAAGAACTTAAACTTCATTCATCTGAAACGATCAAGAATCTGATCCATTAAGATTTTTTTTCCTGTGCTTGTTTCGATCAGGCCCAAGAAGTTGCGTTTTCACCCCAAGCAACTTTACCTCTCGGCCAAACAGGGAGAACTCAAGAGGGTGTTGCTCATGTTGGGTACAGACACCAGAGATCCTGTTTCTCATGTCATCTTCTTTTCAACTTGTAATTATTTACAGTACCAGCATATTATTTCTGTTTCTATGCAAATATCTGACTTCTCTTACCTTCCAGTGGACGGCATTGACCCAAACTTTAAGATGGATTCTCAGAACAAACGTACTCCGCTTCATGCCGCAGCTGAGGGCGGACACAAAGACATCTGCCACATGCTCGTTCAGGTAAGACTCTGAGGATCCTTCTGTTCTGCCCCGTACGTCCTCCACCACCAGGTTTACTTTACATCAGCCGCTGTGTGTCCTGCTTCAGGCCGGTGCAAACCTGGACATGTGTGACGAGGATCAGCGGACGCCACTGATGGAGGCCTGTGAGAACAACCACATGGAGACGGTGCTGTACCTGCTGAGAGCTGGAGCCAGCGCCATGCAGAAGGTAGAAATGTTTTGGTGGCCGTCATAGCTCGTAGAAGTCAAGTGTCGACTGTGAGACATCAAATCTTTATTCATCAATACTTCACCCTCTTCTCAGGATGTTGAAGGCTTCACGTGTCTCCACCTAGCGGCAAAGTCCGGTCATTACAACATTGTCGAGCACCTTCTCTCCACAGGACTGATCAACATAAACTGTCAGGTCAGTTTTCACATTTCATTTTCTCAGGGGATTTTATATAAAATTAAATTAAATATTTTCACTAACACATTAGTTGTTGTTATTCAGTTCTTGTGCTCCCGTTGATCACATGTCAGGAAGTTTGTAGATGCAAATGTTGTTTGTTATTAAAACCTCAAGATTATTCAGTTCCTGACATTTGACTGTCGGGCTAATGATAGCATAGCTTTGCTCATTCAAAATAAAGGTGACCTGTATTTTTTAACATTTACAATATCATAGCTGATTATATCTGAAGCGATAAATAAAACTCTGTCAAGGAATGATGAACCAAAATGCAGAAGTGACTGATATATATTATGTTATAGATGGTTCCAGCCCCTGACTCTCTGCAAAATCCCCATTTGTCTTTGTCGTGTTGCAGATTAATTAAACAAAACAAGACACAATCTGTTTCAAATTAAAAAATCATTATCATTGAAGATTGCTTTTATACGATGTCCTTTAGGAATACTTTACTCCGCTGATCAGTGATGATTGTTTTTCCTCAGGATGACGGCGGTTGGACAGCCATGATCTGGGCGACTGAGTACAAACATGTTGACCAGGTGAAGCTGCTTCTGTCCAAAGGAGCCGACATCAGCGTCAGGGACAAGGTTAGCTGCGGCGTCTGTCCTCCCTGTGTTCGTCACGATTTACAGAAAAATATATTGCAATTGTTGGTTTACATCATTTCCTCTTCTGTTCAGGAGGAAAACATCTGCCTTCACTGGGCAGCGTTCTCCGGCAGTGTGGAGATTGCGGAGCTGCTGCTGAACGCCCACTGTGACCTGCAGGCTGTCAACATCCACGGAGACTCTCCGCTACACATCGCTGCTCGGGAGAATCGCCTGGATTGTGTCACGTGAGATAAAAAAATTACCCACCTTGAAAGAAAATTTACATAATGAGCTTTTTAACGTACTTTTAAACAAGAGCAGAGACTGATGTGCTGTGCGTGGTCAATAAAACGTGGCCTTTCTCTCCTCAGGCTTTTCCTGTCTCGAGGAGCAAATGTTTTTCTGAAGAATCGTGAAGGAGAAACTCCTCCAGACTGCTGCAGCCACAACTCCAAGGCCTGGGCGGCTCTGCAGGCCAACAGGAAGGAGAGGGACGCCAAGAACAGCAGACTCAGTCGAACAGAGGAGAAAGTCCTTCACAGGTTGATAGAAATTGTACAGGGTTACACTGGAGGGGACAGTTTGACTCATCTGTCACTTAAAGGCTCATCAGATTGGACAACGTTGCAGTTTTGACCCTTTTTCTTTTTGTCCGATTTCCACCGCTTTGAAAACTAACCCTCGTGTCGGCTCCGTTTACAGTGACATCGCTCTGGGACAGGAGGGAGTTCCTATTCCTTGTGTCAACTCTGTGGACAGTGAAACGATCCCAGACAACTACAAGTACATCTCAGAAAACTGCGTCACCTCCCCCATGAACATCGACAGAAACATAACGCACCTACAGGCAAGTTAGAAACCGTCTCATCAGACGTCTAATCAAGAAAACGAATGAATGTTTGGCAGGAGGGGAAGTGACGTTAATTCTTCTTCTTCTCTCTTTTCAACAGTACTGTGTTTGTAAGGAAGATTGTTCGGCAAGTATCTGCATGTGTGGACAGCTCAGCCTGCGCTGCTGGTACGACAAGGTAACGACAAACTACGACACAGACCAAACAGTCAGTAGATAAACCTGGAAGTGTTTGGACACGAGGGCTGTCGCAATATCTGGTTCACACTTATCCAACATTAGGAGAGAATCAATGTTTGTAACATGTGCTGTCATTCTCTCTGTGTGGAGTCACAAGTGATGGGACGTTCCAATTAAATTTCTAATATGACTTAAAGGTCCAGTGTGTAGAATGTAGTGACATCTAGTGGTGAAGTTGCATGTTGCAGCTGAATACCCCCCCCCCCTCCTCTTCCAAACATGAAAGAGAACCTGTGGTAGCTTCAGTTGTTATAAAAACTCAGAAGGTTTTAGTTTGTCCAGTGTGGGCTACTGTAAAAAACATGGCGGCCTCCGTGAGAGAGAGAGAGAAAGAGAGAGAGAGGGTCCGCTGGGTGTAAATTTAAAGGGCCTTTTCTTGGCCACCATGTAAATCTAATATTGTGACAGCCCCATCTTTACCAAACCATTGAACACAACACCAAACCAAAGGTGCTCTCTGTGGTCAGGGCGCCCTGGTGGTGAACATCAATAACTGCAGTGATGGAAACTATTGAGATAATTTCTCTTCTGTCGTGTTCAGAGCGGTTGTCTCCTCCCCGAGTTCTGCCGCGAGGAGCCTCCCCTCATCTTCGAGTGCAACCATGCGTGTTCCTGTTGGAGAACCTGCAAAAACCGCGTCGTGCAAAATGGACTCAGGTAAAAATAAGCTGCAAGCAACATGCAGGTGTCAGCAGCGTGTAATGAAATTCCATTTTTTGATTGTATTTCTGATGTTGTGGATCTTCCAGGAGCAGACTTCAGCTCTTCAGGACCAGTAAGAAGGGCTGGGGCGTCCGGGCCCTGCAGGACATACCACAGGGGACCTTTGTGTGCGAGTAAGTCCTGTTTTACTAATGAAACACTGTTTGTATATTATATATTGCAATGAAACGAGCATCTCTTAACTCATTTGTTCGGTTTCAGTATTTCTCAGAGTAGTTTCCAGTTATTCACACGAAAAAAACTGCTGATTTAAAAGTTTCACCGAAACATCGTAATATAACAGCCACAGTTTGTCCTTTTAGTTCTCTTAGGTTTTTTTATTCAGAGATCTAGGTGTGACCTGGAATAGACGTGTTGTGTCACACACTCACACACACTTGGTGTCCGTAACTTGTTCCAGATGGTAGCAGCTCAGACGGCGAGCGCAGCAGACGAGAGACCAAATTATTTTACATTCCAGACCACACAGTAGATATATTATATACACTAAGAACTCTTACCACTGCTTATTGAAAACACTCGGTAGTATACACAGCCAGGATTATAAAATCTTTTTAATAAACTGACTCATCCACTCACTCACCATCTTCCAGTGTTGAATAATGTCTCCCTTGTTAGAGATGTAATTAAAAAAAACAACCTTTGGGGTTAAACATTTCAAAAGATGTGAAGACGCATCACAGAGCTGTTAAATCTTTGAAGCTCAGTATCTCAGAGCTGAAAGCTTGTAAATGGCGTCAGAAAGCGTCTGACCGCTCATCTGCTTCCTAACAGGTACGTCGGTGAGATCATCTCCGAAGCAGAAGCAGAGATGAGGCAAAACGACGCCTACCTGTTCAGTCTGGACGACAAGGTAAAGTGTGAATAATTAATCCAGTTCTTTAATTGATGTATTTATATTTTAATATGCTTTCGACCAATTAGGTTTTCTTATTTTAAAACAATATTCCGAGTAGATGAGCTCTGTAGGTGAAGGTCTGTGCACTGGAAGCTTATTATTTTCTTTTAGTTTGAGCCTTTCCTTCATTTTTCCTTCCAGCCGCAAGACATGTACTGCATCGATGCCCGTTTCTATGGAAACATCAGCCGCTTCCTCAACCACATGTGCGAGCCCAACTTGTTTGCCTGTCGAGTGTTTACGAAGCACCAGGACCTTCGATTCCCACACATTGCCTTCTTCGCCAGTGAAAACATCAAAGCTGGAGAGGAGCTGGGGTAAACAACTTTGACTACGTTTGAGGTTTTCATTCTCACTTTTTGTACAGACCCGCTGAACCGATATCCGAGACATGTCGCGGCCTGACCCAAGAAGAAGAAGCAATTTAATTTATTTGGGGCGCGACATAAACCTGTGTGTTTTCTAACCCTGGGCGTTGCTGTATCTTCTCATCCTCCCCTTTCAGATTTAACTATGGCGACCACTTCTGGGAAGTCAAGAGCAAACTGTTCAACTGCGAATGCGGCTCCTCGAAGTGCAAGTACTCGTCGGCGGCCATGGCGTCGCTGCAGGCCGACAGCACGCCAGAGGAGCAGCAGCAGCCGAGCGCGTCGCCCGACACCAGCTCCTCCAACAGCCCGCCCAGTCCTTCATAAAAGCCTCCGCACACTAAGCCTCGCCACACGTGCAGGACCGAGGGCGCCACCTGTTTCCATTCACCGAGAACTCTGAACTCTTTTCTCTGAACTTGTACTGTATCTCTCCACTTCTGATTAAATGACCATGGACCATAGACGACACTCACACTGAGAAGCAGATGCACAGTCGATTCCTGGAACAAGTCGCTGCTCCTTTATTCCACCTGGTGTAACAGCAGGGGGCAGTGACGTCACGCACAGCAAACTTCACGGGGACGGTTAAAAACAGTCCTTACATTTCATCCTTTACAGGAAGGAGAACTGTGCGTTTTGTCTTTATTAAGATAATTGACATCGTTGAATGGCTTTTTCGTAGAATCGTGATAAAGGATTTCTGGGTTCGGGATGAGCGTATCGTTGTCTTTTGCGAAGACAACCTCAGCGTACGGCTGAGTTGAACTTGTTTGACCGTTGTGGTCATTTATCATGAACCATTCCAGCTGAATTAGCAGATAAGTAATGAATTTTGTTGCCACTTTTCCGCGTCACCTCATCTTCGTTGCCGTGTTTGAATGGATGTCCAACATTTGCTACGACGTTTGGTTCTAAATTGAAAATTGAATCAAATCATGTAAAAAAAAAAAGTGAACCATTTTTTTATTTGCTACTCGAGTGAGTATAGATTGATAGAACGATGTTGTACCATTCCTCAAGAATGAGGCGTTTCTAGTCTGAATAAATTGGCTGATCTTTTTTTATTAAGCATGGGGATCTTAATGTGTCAGATATTTTGCCACGGTTTTGGAGGAATTTACTAAACTGAAGTGGAGGAAAAAGAAATAACATGGTGCTGACAAAGGTTTTTACTTTTGTTTTCATTTGTATTACCCAAGTGAACATAGTTTGTAAAATAAGAGAACATTTTAAGTTTTTTTTTATGTTTAATTTTATCTCCAGTTTTCTAATCGTAGTTACTGTAGTTAGCCTGTTTTTAATTTCGTTTTTGCCAACAGAAGCCAACCCGTCTTTTTAAATGTTGTTAGTAAAGCAGTGACTGTTGTGCAAAGTTTTGAAAGATATAAATGGGTAAAAAAAGGTTATAAAAATGCACTTCCAGTACGTTCTGTTACATATTTCTGGACCGTGAACCATTCATCTACTTGGTTGTATCTTTTTCAATAAATTTACTACTAATGCATTTATTCGGATTTACGTCACTTGTTTCTCTTCTTACCTGAAAACGTTTCCGCAGACTTTAAACATCAGGTTCTTCTCGAGCGTCTTCGTCTCTTCAGATTTTTCAGGTCCATGAGGAGATTTCTTTTAACACATTATCTTGTCAACCATGACTGAAATATCTTCAACCTGACGCCTGCAGGAACGGAGCAGCGGCTCAGTTTTGACAGACCTCGCTCGGGGCCTGGCGCTGAAATATTTGAGCAGCTGTGGCATCGGAGCGGCTGGCGCTTCCCACTCTCTCCATTTGCCTTAATAAGAGCCTCTTGATTTATGCTGTGAATTTGCTGCCGAAGAGTCGAGCTCATTGCAAACTGATAAAAGCTGCAACTATACAGCGGTGGAAGAAGAAGTATTTAACACAGCAGGAGAAATACTCCATCTACAGTAAAAGTATGGGTTTAAAAGACAGTTACAGGGTGAAGATGTTTGTAATATCTCAAAATCATGATGTGGGAACAGAAATTTGGAAACTTTGGCAGAATTTATTAAGATGGAAAAACCGGAAGATAATAGAATAATGAATTGTACCATTCAGACTCTTTGCAACAGACTTGATATAAAGTGCAGCACTGCCTGTGGCACCAGGAAGGAGCGTTAAACACAGTGGGAAGTGAGCGGCCTTTTAGGACCTGCTGATGATTGCTCCCTTCCTGATTACCAGGGCGGACACCGAAATCAGAGTCGATAATTGAATCAGAGAGACTTCTCCTTGAGCTTCGAGGAAGATTGGTCTGATAACAAGGTTCCTCGCTGGCAGGACAGGAAGTTCCTTTCCGCATTCCAGAGTTGGAGGAACCTTTTTGTTGTTGCCTTTGGTGGCTTTGCCCTGATGCCTGACGGAGAAGCCTCCTGCAGGCAGTCGCATGTGAACCGTGTGAGGGTCAAAGCTTCGCTGCACCGCTCTGTTGGAGGTCGACTGACCCCGGAGAGCAGCGATGAAGAGAGCGGTTCCTCGTATCTCAAGATGGTCAGAGACGCGATCTACGTTGGTGTACGGTACGTTCAGTTCATCCTGGTTCTCGTAACGTTGGTTTGATTTTGTTAACATCTCTATGTTGTGTTAAAAAGCTTCAGGGTGAGAGAGGGCCCCTTGTTCTACTGTGCTCTCACCGGTTGTGAAGTGATTGAACTCTGCTTCTAGTCAGTGGTGATGGAACTCTTCACAAAGCATTGAACTACAGAAGGTTCATCACCTCTTTGGGTCCCTGGGAACATTTCTGGAGTGGTTTTCTGAATTTGCATTTGTTTTTTTCTATTTGCATGTTTTCTCAGTTCGCAGTGCGTTGAGCCACATCACATTTCCTTATAATCTAGAGAATTCAAACGGCTCTTATCATGACGGCAGCTGAAGAACGTCCAGGTTCTGAAGGTTCTTAAACTAAAAGGACTGTTTGAATCCACCCACAGCTGCACCCTCACACAGACTGGATGAACGTCGGGTTACAGGACTGTTCCAAACCTCCCACATTTACAACACACACCTCTACATGCCAGATAATATCTATATACAAAGATTCAGTGTGATTTTAACTATACAATAAATCAAAATGCACATTCTCTTCTGTGTTTTTATCATGAACTTATTCCTGCTCCCTGTGCCTGCATTACCTCCACCCACCACCAGCGGTGCGCTCGGCCACTGTGGGCTCCTGGAGGATGCTGACCCTGGGGGCGGAGTATGAGGACACCTGGACCGGGTCACCTGACAGGATTCCCCGGGGAGGGGACCCCCCAAGACCCGGGGAGCAGGTAGACACGTGTCCGGAAGAACCAGGAGAACCGGAAGAAGAAGCGCAGGAACCGCTGGAGCCGTCGTGGACAGATGTGGACAAAAACAGCTGCAACAGGTTCGACTCAGTTTTCCACCTGGAAGGATTCAACAGAACCGGAAGGAGAGATGGTGTCGATCAGCTGATCTGGAGACATGAGACCCTCAACGGTTCACCGTGGGCCCGCAGGTCAGACACACTGAACCCAAGTTCAAATACATTCTACCTTTGGTTGAAATCTTTTATAATGTGGCCGAGGACAGGAAACAAACCGAGACACCAAGAAAACAAGACTGAGAAACAGTCAAATTCCCCAAATAGCAAAAACAAGAAAAAAAAAAAAAAAAAAGCTTTATGAATAAATATAGGACAGAACATTTAATATAAACTGAATAAATCAATTAAAAACAAATGTGGTGAGATCAGGAAACTTAAGTTAACTTAGAACAAGATTGTGAGAAAATAAAATCTACAAACAGCTGTTTATCCTTTATTATTATTGCAGTACACACTCTACACCGCTAGATGGCTTCTCTGTTGTGTCTGAGCAGTTGTGAAATAATTGATATAGATTATTGGTATAGATTTGATCGATATACATATTGAATATTTAATGATGATGATGATGATGAAGAAGAAACAGCATTCATAGGTAGAACAGTTTTATATTTTTACAAAATCCATTTTTTTTACATTGACTGAAAGAACTGATCTTTGCATGTTTTTAAACTGTGCATATATAAACTATATATAAATATTTAGAATATATATATTCTGTTATTGATAAATAATTCTAAAAATAAAATTAAAATGTGTTGCCTCTTGCATCTTATATTAATATTTGACACATAGCAGCAGCGTCTCTGGGACCAAATAATGAGGAAGGTAAGACATTTATACCAAGACAGATTTTTCCTTCAATTTATATACATTTATTTGTATTTTATATATCTATTTACTTTTTAAAGGATATTTGATTCTGCTAACAAGGCAGGTCTGTACTTTTCCTTTTACATTTTTTACCTATTTTTGTATTTTTGAACCCAATAACAATCTTTTACAAGCTGCTGTAATCTGTGTAAGAACACGTTCTCGCTTGTTGATGCTGGAAAAAGATTCCATATTGATAAATATACACACATGCACATTGTGTTATTGATGAGATTTGTATTATTATTATATAAATATTATATTTTTAGCAGGGGGGATGAGGAAGGAGACATTTTGACCTGAACAGAGAATATTTAATATTTTAATACTTTTTAAAGTATTTTCAGTTTTTCTTTTACAAGCTGCTATAATCCGAACAAACATCTTTTCCTCGTCGAAGTTAATGGAGAACATATCGATCCCAGCTCCTCCTGTTGAACTTTATTACTTTCACAGTCTCTTATAATAGAAGCAGCCAACAGACGCTCCAGTCCCTGATTGGCTGAGTCAGGTCACGTGTTCTCCTTCCTTTATTCCACCGGGGAGTGGGTATAAAACCTCCTGCCCCCCCCACCCCCGGACCATCACACAGGAATCGAACGGTGCCCGCTGGTGCTGCAGCCGCGTGTGCGCTGCTCTCAGCTGGAAGAAGCTTTTCACGGTCTCGCGCTTCAACTGGTGTTTGGATGCTGACGCGATGTTTTCAGGATTTTTATTTGGGGGGGGGGGGTGATGTGATTTTTGTCTCCAGCTGATGAGGACGCAACAGAATCTCTGACGCGTAAAACTTTTATTTGTGGAGGATGAATGAATGGAGGGGATCCAGAGAAGGTGGTTTTCAATGAGGCCACCTCGGTGTTTCGTTGTCGCTTCCCTCCGAGCTGCGGTTTGGATGAAGTGTGTCTGTTGTGATGCGCCCCCCCTCCGTCTCCACTGACACCGCTTTGGATTTTCCCGTTTGGATCTGTGCGTTTCCAGAATGGCTCGCTTCTCCGAAGACCTACCCACCCGCTATGGAGGAGGCGCAGGCGGCGGAGGAGGGAGAGGCGGACAGGGCGCAGGGAGAGGGGGAGCCCGGGGTGGCGGTGCCGGCGGCGGTGGCGCACCGGGCGGCCAGAGGATGTACAAGCAGTCGATGGCCCAGAGAGCCCGGACTATGGCCATTTACAACCCGAACCCCGTGAAACAAAACTGCTTCACTGTCAACCGCTCCCTCTTCATCTTCCGGGAGGACAACCTCATCAGGAAGTACGCCAAGCGGATAACAGAGTGGCCATATCCTTCCTGACGCACGGAGCAGGTGCCTCCTGATGCGGTGTTCTTAGGTGGAGGTTGTGCAGGAGTAACCACCATGTGTTTTCTTTATTCCTCCTGCACCTGTCGCTCCTGCTCCTTATCTCCATTCACACACATCTCCCCAGTGAAAAGACTCCACTCTTCACACCCTCCTATTGTTGTGGCCTTTCACGGAGCCTCTGGGCGTCCACATCCACAGATAAGCTGCCAACTGTCGGCCGTGCGCGCACAGAACCCCCCGGCGTCGTGGTTCATAACGATAAAACCTCCCTTGTTGATTTGCGCAACGAGAAGTCCATAAAAAGCTGCGTGCGTAAAAGCGTAACGCGCCTCCGCTCCACACCTTCCCCCGCGCAAAGCCGCGTATTCATGAAGCAAGCAGCGCCACGTTATCAGAGTAGTGAGCCCTCTCCGTGGTGCTGGAGTCGCCCACACACAGAAACATGTCCACTGGGTTCAGCCTCCACATCTTAGTGTTGTTTCTCCTCATGTGAGTGAACCATCCTGTCATCCACCCAGCGTCTGCGTCCAAATCACCAAATAAACCCGCAGCAGCAGCAGCAGCAGCAGCTCTCTGAGTCAAACCCCCGGATCTGTACAAAAGCTTTATTTCATATTTCTGTGAAAAGAAAAATCTGATTTCTGGATTCGGTTAATGATTATTTGTCTGTTGTTTTGATTGTGAGCAGCGTTCAGTTTATAAAAAGCACAGAGGTAGAGACGTGTGATCGATTGAGCGGCCACATGGCTTTCACACAAGCCAGTCGGATTCACCTTTATCCTCAGCGTACCCTCAAGCTCGGCCTGTATCGTTGATTAGCTAAGGTGCACAACTGAGGTTTTGTCCCCAACAACATTCTAGATCCACCAGAATTTCTTAATCGCTTCACCCCCGACTCGTTTCGCATCCTTACGCTAAATTTGGTTGAAATCCGCTCGGTTGTTTTTGTGTAATCCTTCTAAAAAAAACAAACAGACAGGCGTGAAATCAGAATCTCTTGAGACGGGAGGTTTTGGATCAGAAAAAGTAAAATCATTTCAAACCCTAAACATCTTTTCACACTTTCATGAGGAAAAACAACGTGAAACTACAAACAGCAGCGGACAGGAAGGAAAAGTCGTCTTTTTCCTTTTAACAATCCAGTGAAGACACCGGTCCTCTGTGCTGGTTGTTTCATGGATAACAATCTTCATCGATAGACCCTGACCCACGGACACTGACCCGGGGAAAATAGATTGCACAATGAGCCCAGCATTGATAATGGTTGGAAATGGTCGACCATGTGGAAGATTCGTGAGCGCATGTGCAGGACGATTTCTCTCTAGAAGCCTTGAACCAGAGCGTGATGGAAGCTTTATGGTTTGTTGGACGTTGTGTGTCTCAGTGTGTAATGGCATCATGCAGCAACAAGAAGTATTTTCTTTAGGCATGAAACAATTATCAGAGTCCCTCCGTTGTTTTAAAAAGTCTTAAACCTTCGTCTTTATTTCCAGTCTGTGGTTGAATCCTGCAGAAATCCTGATTATTATGATTCACCCGTTTTTAAATGTATGCAACTTCTCTTCCAACTTGCTCCTTAACCTTCACACTCCATTTGAATACATGATCCTGGCCACGATTATCGCCAACTGCATCGTCCTGGCTCTGGAGCAGCATCTACCGGCCAGCGACAAAACGCCCATGTCAGAACGTCTGGTGAGTTCTCCCACATCACTTCCTGTTGTTTGGATAAAGACTTTGTCAACAGTGAGATGAGAATGATCACACGGCCACAGGTTTGTTTTATGTCAGAAGCAGCAGCTCTCTCTAGGTGGTGGGAGCATTAGCGTCACTCAAACATCACATTTCAAGAATTTTCTCGTTAAATTACGACTTTATTCTGGTAAAATGATGTTTTTTGTCTTCATTCAAAGTCTCCAAAGCATTTCTTCTTCAGTGTGGTCTTAATATTCCGTAACCCTGGGTGTTTTTCCCCTGCACCTCTTATCTCTACACGTCATCGGTGAACCAGCTTTGATCACCTGCTCCGGCTTCCTGTTCCCCAGCTGCTCACATATGTATTAAACCAACATTTGATCTCCGCTCCTCTAACCAGTCTGAGGGAGAAACCAAAGCGAGTCGTTGCACGCGGTGGTCAAGTGGCACGTTCTGCCCCCGTCCACCCTGAATAGCACTTAGCTGCGCGGTTCAGCACTTTGCAGCGTTATGTTTTTTGAGGGCGTTCGTCGCTCAGGGGAGTTTGTCTGCAAATAGCGAGTCAGAGAGTGTCACAAAGAGCAACAGCTTGATGGAAAAAAAGTCAATTAATTCCTCTCGTGTCGTACCACCTGCTCCCGACGCCGAATTATCTCAGCGGCTGTGATGCAAATTTCAACGAAGAGGGCGAAAAAAAAAAAAAACAACAGGCAAAAAGCCGAGCTGAGCATTTTAGAAAGTGATTGTAGTGGTTACACAAAGCATCCTCTCTCTCTCTCTCCCTC